TGAAGGCAACTAACCGCAAGTTTTAAACACCACATGATCAAAATTTAGCTACGAGATGAAGATTATGCCGATTTCGACAGTGATGATGAAAGCACAGCCATTTATGAAGTACCTTTGAATGAAGATGAAGACAGAAAAAATGAGACTAACAGGTATTTGGGCTTTTTTTCCCTAAAATCACTTTCGAACTTGTTCTTTTGTGCTTTTAGTGCTCCACAACCTATGCTGCGGTTGATTTTACATTCTATAAACTTGTTCTACTTTTGCGCAACTCAACTTCTTTTTCCTTCGGAGTACAGCAAAAAATCCCAAATTTTTATCTCTGCTTAGCCTAACACTCTGAAAAATGAAACACCACGTGGAGCCACCGCGGTAGCGCATATGACACACGCACACGCGAACGCATGTATCGATTGATGCATAAGAGAACGCACAGTAGGGTCAGGCGTGTGATGGTGAAGCGCTGCTTCATATGCCAGTTGAGAACATATGGACTACGGTCTTAAATTAGAAAAATTGAGGATGATGACATATTGAAGTAGGAATTTTCAGAAGTTTCTGAGCGCATATTTGGAATTATTTTACAAATGTGTATGCAATTGAGATTGATAAGTTTAACAAAATTATTCTGAGTTGTTCTGCAGTTTGATAAGGTTACTAATAATAGGGAACTCTTTTTTACTCGGATTTTCTCATGCCGTCTTAGAGAAAGATTGCTACATTGCCAAGGCCATTTAGTTTTTTTGGAAATGACACTTCTATCGAGAAATCTTGAAAAAAAACCATTGTTAGACGAAGCAGTCAACAGTTGCATGCTCTTATCTCATTTCTCCTATAAACCTATGCAATGGCACTAATGCAGTTGCTTTTCCTATTGATTTCCCTTGTTTGATTGTTATTGTCGTTTGCTAAGCTCAGTCCTAACATTCTCATTCTAGCTCTTCCGCCAAACTCACCTCATCTTCAAGTGAGCGTAGTCTTTTTAAGGGAATCAAGAAGAAGCTTGAGCTTACGCTTCGAGGTCGAAGCGAAGATACTCCATCGAAGACGGTAAGCGCTTTCCACTCTATAGTGATGAATGTTGTAACCTTTTTATCTGTTATGATCAATAGCAAACGCAGCTTCACTGTTTATATTGTTGACACTTGTTCCTACAGCAACTAAAAGTGGAAAAATATTTAAAAAATTCAATAATAAGCTGCTGTAATTCAAGAAGAACTTGAAGGGGAAGAAATAGCAATTCAATTATGTAATTTGCACACCAGTCCGATTACGGGGCTAATCACTAGAGCCATTGTAAAGCTTCTTTCCTTTCCCTGGCAGAGGTAATCTTCCATAACTATTCTCAAAGAAGCTTCCCACTTATGTAAGGACTTGAGAGTAAAAAAGGAATGTTGTAAAGGAAAGGAAGAAAAGAATTAATGCTAGAAGATTCATATATGTAAGAGATAACGAGAATCTAATGCTAGTCTCATGTGGGAAGTGGTTTGAACAGATTTTTAAATTAATTTTTAAAATACAAAGTATCCAAAAAATGTACCTGCAGTTTGATCGTTGACAACTCTTATTTCCAAACATTTCTATGTATCAATAATCCTCTGATCCTTTATGAAGGGCTAGTTCAAATTTAGCTTTGCATTGAGACGCTCTTGTACTTTTCGTTACGCTAGGGTTACCGTTGAAATTGTTGACGCTAGTTTAAAGCACTTTTGTCATAGATCTAAAAATTGTTCTATAGAAAGCGAAAACTCGTCAGAGGATTCATGCAGTATGCTGACCCCGATGACCATGATAAAATAATAATTGACAAAGTTATGATAAGTGCTATATGCCGCGTAAGGCACTTTAAATCATTTCACTGTAATGAAAGCGGTATACGATCAAATCAATTTATAACTTAGATTATAGCTAAAGGTAGCGTAAATAAATCATTATAACTTAGAAAAGATTCAAAATTAAAGGTCATTTGATGATTAAACGTTAGGCACGGTAGGTAAAGGTAGGTAAGTTACGCTTATACACATCTATGAGAATTTAAACACACCTTAGTTGCACAATCATGCTTCTCTCCGGGTTATCTTTGATTCAAATTACTTTTTATGAAGTAAACTCAGATTGAAGAAGTGAACTTAGATTATCTCATTCAGCAAGAGTTAAGAAAATGGTTATCGCCAAGCGATTTGTGATCATGAAGTTTGGCAATTAGAATGCAATTTTAACAGTTGCTATTTACGTTATATTGCTTGCTCCATGGTATACTGAGATATGCTTACAACAACGTAAACATCACTATTGTTAACATCATTGTTTTAGAACCTTTCTTTTTTGTAGTGGAGCTTTTTAAATGGCGTAGCACTTAGTCAAACAAACGCAAACCTTATCGCAAAAGTCTTAACTCTTTGAATGAGAAGATTTGGAAGTATAGAGCCTTCAAGTATTCAGAAATCAGCAGGTAGTTCTGAAGAAATGGTTACTAATGGAGTAACGTGCAAGGAATGCGCACGGAAAGATGCAGAGTTGAAGCGAATGCAGAGTGAAATCGAAGGGTGAGATAGAATCTACCACTGTTTTTGGGCAACTATCGAGCTTTTGTAGTCTTTCCTTTCTTATTTGTTTCAGTTTGAAGAGAGAGGTAGAACAGCTGAGTTTTGAATCCACGGAGTTAGGCACAAATCTTGCTGATGCAGAAACAACGGTCTATGAGAAGGATGAAGCCATCAAAAGTGTAAGTATAATAACGACAAGAAATTACTGTTGGTGATAACAAAATCTTTATTTTGAATTAAATCAACCTATACTTAATGAAACTGGAAAAAGTCATTCATTGAATTGTCGGATATGTTCGTGCCGCTTTTTTTT